CATATGTAACTGCACACATATATTGATTGTTGCAAGATTATATGTGTCACATCCCTTATCAATAATATTATTTTTTCTTGTGTATTACTTTTGTATTACTTAGTGTATTACTTTACCTTGGTCAAGCTGTGTGCCTTCACCCACATTTGGTACTACCATTGCTACCCTCTTGCCCTTAGAAAACAAAAGAGGAAGGAAAGAAAGAAAGAAAGAAAAGGCAGATGTCTGTTATCTAGAGCGTGATTCCCCTTCTTCCCCTGAGCCATCCCTGGCAACCACTAATGAACATTGTTCTATGTATGTATTTGTTGTCTTAAAAAAGTAAGATCATGCAATATTTGTCTTCTTGTGATTGACTTATTTCACTCAGCATAATGTTCTCCAGATTTACCCACATTATGTTTCAAGTTTTTGTTATTCTTTGTGCCTCCATAAAATTCTGCTACATGTATGTATCATTTTTGTTTAATAGGCAGTTAGATTGTTCTCATCTTTTTGCAATTGTGAATAGTGCTGCAATGAATGTAGGTGTGCATATGTCTGTTCACATCTTTACTGTTAGATCTCTAGGGTATATACCTAGAAGTGGGATTGCTGAGTCATAAGGCAACAGTTCTACGTCTAGTTTGTTGAAGAAATGCCATAATGTTTTCCATAGTGGTTGTATCTCTTTACCACCAGCAGGAGAAAGGACTTGAATCTCCCCACATTCTTGCCAGCATTTGTTGTTGAGCTTTTTTAATCATTGCTATTTTAGTAGGAATAAGATTGTATCTCATTGTAGTAGTTTTTTTTTTTTTTGGCAAATATTTTACAGTGTTTAAGGTGAAAGTTTACATAACAAACTAGGTTCATGTTTAACAGTTTCTACACAGATTATGCAGTGATACTGGTTACCTTTTTCACAGTATGTCACCATACTTTTTTTTTTTTTTTTTTAAGTTTTATTGTGATTTGGGTGAAAGTTTACAGAGAAAATTCATCTTCCATCAGCAGTTCACATACACTTTGTCTTGTGATA